ATATAAAATAGTCTATTTTCTTAGGGAGACCTCTTGGGACCTCAAAAAAAAAAAGCATGAACATAGGCAAACTTGATAGAATTGTATTTATGAGTATTAGCCTTTGTCCATAAGACAACATTTTGCCCTTCCAACCACTCAATCTCTTTTTGATTCTGTCCTCAATCATTTTCCAATCTTTATTTTTGATTTTCCTAAAGTGCATTGGGATACCCAAGTAATGAAAGGGGGTAATGAGCCCATCTTGCAACCAAAGAGTTGTGAATATTGTACTTGACATTCTTTTGCTTGCCCACAACAGAAGATTTCACTTTTATGAAAATTAATTTTAAGACTTGACAATTGTTCGAATGCACAAAGTAACAATTTCATGTTCTTTGCCTGATCAATATCATGGTCCATAAAAATTACAATGTTATCTCCATATTGTAGGATCGACAAGCCATCTTCAACTATATGTGGCACAACCCCTCTTACTTGACCTTCTTCTTTGGCTCTATTCAGAATGATAGCCAACATATCCACCACTATGTTAAACAAGATGGGTGAAAGTGGATCACCCTGTCCAAGGCCTTTCTTAGTTTGAAAGTAAGGTTCCAGTTGATCATTTACTTTAATTCTAATGTTACCACCTTGAACAAAAGTTTTGATCCAACTACACCAATTTGGATCAAATCCATTCATTCTCAACGTCTGTTGGAGGAAATCCCGTCTTACTTTATCATAAGCTTTTTCAAAATTGATCTTTAGAATGGCCCCATTTTGCTCCTTTTTATGTAATTCATTTATTGTTTCATGAAGTATGACTACCCCTTCCATAAGATAGCCCGGTAGAAATGATGTTTGTGAGGGTCCAATTGTCTTTTCAGCTATCTTAGTTATTGTGTTAGTAGCAACTTTAGTGAATATTTTAAAGCTAACATTCAATAGATAGATGGGCCTGCATTGTTGTATTTGTTTAGCCTCAATGCACCTCAGTATCAGAATTATTGTTCCAAATTGTAGAGGCAAGTAGCCCTTATGAAAATCCGCAAACAGGCCATCAAATCTTCTTTTATCACATTCCAAAAGACTTCAGAAAACTTTGATGGAAATCCATCTAGTCCTGGGGCAGTGTTATGTTTCATTTAGAAAATAGCCTCTTGAACCTTGTTTTATGAGAACATGGCTACTATCGTCTCATTTTCCTGAGTTGAAACTTGAGGAATATCATCATGGCGAGACTCATCTATGGACCAAGAATTATTATCCGGATGACTAAATAACTTCTTGTAATACTTGGTGATATATTTTTTGAGTTCAACCTCACCATAGGTTAAACCTTCCTCTTGTTATAACTAAAAAATTCAAGTTTTTCTATTTTTTCCATTAGCTACTAGCTGAAAGTATCTTGTATTAGCATCACCTTGTAGAAGATTTTTAACTTTAGCTCTCTGGTACCATTTTAATTCTTCTTCCCTTAGTAGTGTTGTGAGTCTTTCATTGACAACATGCTTAAGATTTAATTCATTTTGATCCAAAGGTGCATTCTTAGCAATTTATTTTCTTTCTTATAAGCACCACTAACATTTTTATCCCAACCCCTTAAGTACTGGCGAAGACGTCTGATTTTTGCTTGCCATCTCTCTAATGGGGTATGTCCTTCATGCACACTCAGCCAGGTGTCCATATCAAAGAAACCTTATAGTAGTAGCCATCCTAATTGAAACTTGAACTTCACTCTTATATCATTCACGCGCTTTTCGCCAAATAATCTCTTCAACATTATTTCTTTGATGGTCTTTTGTTCCAACCCCTCGGACTTGTAGTAGTGAGGTTTCACACACTAGACGATCCAACTCGATATTTGTCGTGGTACAATATGCAATCATCTCTCTACTTTCAGGGTATTGCATAGATCATTTGCTTCACATGTGTTCTTCGGCACTCTCATTTGGCCAGTCAATCATCTCCTCAAATGAATTAGAAATCCTCCTTTGTGAATTCCTTGATTTTATCTCAAGTAGCAAATTTAGCTTCTAACTTGACCATAGTAGAACCATTGAACAGCGGCGTTTTGCATCCTTTCTCATTTGCTCCAACTTCAATTTTCTTTCAACAAGGAACTCTTCACATATCGTCTTGTCTAGATAAATCATCCAACACAAATAGATGGACACATATTTCACCGTTCATGGATGGTTTGTTGCACGGTTTCACCGACCGTAATTTGGTTTCATTCCCTCTTGTCTCCATAACAATTCAACAATCGTAAGTTCTCACCCTCCTCGCCATGCATGTTCCAAACCTCATAGTTTTTCAGAAACCCCTACTCTAAAAGGATGCTCGACAAGGATCCTATATTTTTCATTCTTGTCAACAATTGTATGTATCCTTTACTCTAAACATTATTTGCTACATACGCCTTGACGGCTTTCACAAAAGAGTCAATGCCTTCCATGAACAGGGCAGACACAATGTCCAAGTACATCCATCCATGATCCATTTGTGAATAACACAACTTTAGTGACATAGGTCAACTAGTCATTCCATTTAATAAATCAAACTAGAGGATCCATTTGTGGGTAATTTAACACAATCAACAATCTTTAAGAAATCAAGAAGCACTCTCTAAAAGGATCGATGATTTTGGTCAACTAACTAATTCACAAAAGAGTCGTCATCCATGAACAATTTAGTTTCCAAGTACATCCATCCACACGATCCATTTGTGATTAACACAATGCAACTTTAGTGATCGATATAGGTCAACTAACTAATGTGTCATTCAATTTAACACAATCAAAACTATAGGATACATACTGGCTCTGCCTCTGAAATCAAGCACTCTAAAACAAAGAAGGATGATTTTTTGTCATAATTTAGCCACAGGAACTAAGGTAGCTACACGAAAAGGTTGTTACTTACCACCCTTAGAACATCCTTCGAAAATCGACAGCCTTCACTAGAATGGTGGTCGCCAAAAATGGTGGGGGGGAGCCACGACTAAAGAAAAGTTCACCGAGTGAAGAAGAAGAGGAGGGAAATGGGGTTTTCATTGCTCTTGTAGCTGTTTACCAACACCCGGGTTAATTGGACAGCCGATGTTGATACCCAATTTTACCGCCGGATCGCAGCCTATGGTATCCAGTATCCGAACAAACCGGCGATAAAATTTTTTATCACCGCCGGCATGACGGACGGAAGACGTCTCAAATTATTGGATTTCCTGGGCCGGATCATAAGACTAAACGATGATGCTAGATTCTTTCACCGCCGGATGGAACGGTGGTGCATCCATCCATCTTCAAACCATCGGTGAAAACTTCGTACCTGTGCCTGTTTCTTAGCACGTCGCACAATGGATGAACGGCCAGCGGTGATAAATGTTCTACTGCCGGTTTGACCTATGATACAGTGGTGAAGTCTGGCAATTTGTTCACCACTGAATCATATGGTGAGACGGTGGTGAAAACTTTTATCACCGCCGGTTAATCGACTAGAAGGGGTCTTTAGGCCATGGACCGGCGGTGATACGTATCACCGCCGGTTGTCTCAAAACCGTTGGTGAAATTCCCGACGGTGATTACACTTTCTGTAGTAGTGATTGGAGGATTAGCTACACTAGTTGTTTCTCCTGTATTTAAAAACATGGGTGTATGGTCTGAAACCTCTTTTGAAAGTGCCTGAACAGTGGTCTGCGGAAATTTCAGGTCCCACTCAGTACAAGATAAGATTCTATCTAACTTTTCAAAAGTTGGAACCTCCAGGTTATTCAACCAAGTGAAGCGTCTCCTAGAGACTTCCAATTCTCTTAAGTTAAAAGCATCTATGGTTGCATTAAACAAGAATGGCCATCTGTCAGTTAGCATTATTTTTTTCATGCGGTCCGCGGATAATGTTAAAGTCACCACCTATTAACATAGGTAAAGTTTCTTTCGAACATAAATGGACCAACTCAGTAAGAAACACTTCTTTAAACTCTTGTTGAGTAGCACCATAAACAGCAGATACTAGAAACCATTGAAAACCATCTTGTTTATTGCGCAATTTAAATTTTATGAAGAAATCTCCTTCCTCGATCTCCCCAATATCAAAAAAAGGAAATATTAACTCCCAATAACATGCCACCAGATCTGCCATGAGGAGGTTTACAATGCCACAAAAAATCTTTCCCACCAACTAAGTTTTTTAGAAAGAATTGTGAGCAATCTCTCTTGCCAGTCTCCGACAAGGCCAGAAAATGTACCAAGTCTTTTTCGCGAACTATATCCGACACAAATCTATGTTTTTTTGGGTCTGCGAACCTATTGAAATTCTAAAAAACACCTTTCATTTTTTTAGATTTAGAATTTCTAGGAACACTCTTGTTTGGATTATTCAATTTCTTTTTCAGGCTTGATTTTGTCTTTCTGAGAATGGATCACATAGATTACTGCCCTCCCCATCACTTAAACCCTCGGCTGCATGAATACCTTATGAATGTGGTGAAGAAATTCCTCACATGTATTAACCACTATATCCCATCAATTTTAACAAAATACTCTCTCCAGTCTATTTTACATGGCATTTCGCTAACGTCAAGAGTCAAACTACTTTACAATCTTTTATAAATAATTTGGCTAACAACTTTTAAATATTGGAATATAAATTTGATACCATTAGATTTATAATTAAATATAGTATCCAACATAAATCATAAGTTATGATCATAAACAATATAACATAACATAAAAAATGCCCAAAGTGTAATTTAGGAGACCGTGCTATGTCAAAAGACATTTCATAAGCTGGACCAGAGGGAGTACACTCTATAAGCTATGACAATGCATATTATGAATATTATATATGATCTGATGATGAGTCTATGTCAAGCTATGGTTTACATGCCTGATGAATCTATCTTCGGCTACGGTGTGCTAAATTCGTTGGGATCTTTGGGCCCATATCCTTCAATCATATTCATCAACCACAACTTCTCCTATCGTCTCCCTGCTATTGCTTAGCTTGCACTTTGGTCCCTACACCTTACAAAGGCTTTCGAAGCCCATGTACTGATGCCGCTCCATCCTGTGAACTATGTTTGAGATGCCTACCCCGCCTGCAAGCCAGAACATCGACCATGGATTTCATCATCAATAAAGTAATTAAATACAAATAAAGCTGTTCTAGAATAATCTTGGTCAACTTCAACAAAGCATGGATGGATATTGTACCGAGAGTAAGGGCGCTAACGAAGATCATGGATGCCAAGATGAAGATGATGAGGGACACCCGCCCCAACCAAGCGATCAGCTTCCTCATGCAGTGCTGCCCCGTGATGGCCGCCACGAATGCCACGGCCGTGAAGTAAGCAGCTGGATGAAACAAGACAAGAAATATATATGAGATGAGATGAGATGAGGCGAGAGGGTAAACCGCATGCGAAGAAATGATGGTACCATAAGGCACCGGGAACCGGTGCAACAGGTAGTACTCCACGACCGACATGGACGACGAGAACATCATTGTGAATGTGGCCGTAGCACTTGACACCTGCATATATATAGCACATTTATAATTCACTTGCTGAATATTACTCATGAAATTTTCTCCGAGATTATTGATCCTGCATCAATCCCAAATAAAGAGGTACGGCGGCCGGGCATTGTAGTACCTGGGGAGGAATTCCGAGCTCCAGGAAGAGTGGGCCCATGATGAAGCCACCACCCATGCCTAGCAGGCCACCGATGAGCCCTGCCAGGATGCCGAACAGACAGTACACCAGCAGCTGCCGAATTCTTAGGGTACTTTGCTGCTGGCTTCCCTTCGATGACAGCACCCTTTTCCCTGTTCTTAGCCCGTAGGCTTCATACACTGTCACTCCAACTGCCACCGGGATCTGCACGTTGAATGCGACCAATACAAAGAGTTATTATTAACCATGTTTTTCCCCCATTGCAAGGGGATGTCGATCTGGGTAACAACGAGATAGCATTGCTATTCAAATCCTAGAAGTATTTAGTTACCTGGAGAGAATTCAACACCCAGTACCAAATGGAGCAAGAAGCCACGTAGTTCTGAAAATAACAAGACACAAACAGTGATAAATAAGTGCAATGCATGCGTGTTTCATTATGAAAAGGGGAACAAAGGCTTATAAACAATCATGGTCCACGGGAATTAGAACATATAAACAAACGAATCCTAGAAGGAATCACAAGTTGCGCAGTAATGTATATGAACGGAACATATAGACTTGCGCAAATTTGGCCCAGTCTGGGTCTTCTGGGCTAAGCCAGGCCAGGCCTATGCATGATTGCATCAGGGCCGGATATGGCACCTGTTTTCTTGGTCTTAAGAAAACTGGGCTGGATATTTTTTCATTGGAATATTAAATTAAAAACCAGTTTTGTAACATAAAGTTTTTTTTTCTGTTTCACTATTTACTTAAGTTACTAGGACTCTAGTAGCCATACTTGTAGTAGCTGGAGAAAACTTTATTTGTTTTGATCGGTATTGTGGAAGAATTGATTACTGTATCTATTATCTCTGAGGAGGTAAGGTAAAAAACAACCATTTAATTAACCTAAAATTGGTAATCCATAGTAATCTGGTGTACCTAGTAAAAAAGTTTCTTATCTATGCTTGAACTGTATGCTCCAAGCCTCCAACTAATTTTATATTTCTGACCGATGAGCTACTACAGAGTTTTTTTCCCCAATATCTATGCGCGCGCTCAGTTTTGTGTTTGGGATCCTCACCTTTGTGACCTGGAGGCCAAGGAATGCCACCCAAACGAATGCGAGAAGACCGAACTCCTTCCAATAAATGTTCTTCAGAATTGATGTCTGAAATGTAAGATAGTAGTCTCTTTCTCAGGATCCTTATGATTATGGCTTCAAAAAGCGATGTCTATGAACATGATGCTTACCGCTTCATCTGTCGGGGTTTTTGACTTATTATTAGCAGGAGCATCTGCTTCTATAGGGATTGTTGCTGCATGCTCTGGTTCCTGACCTGACATTTTGGGAAATAAATTATTGTAAGGAAGAGCATTTCATTGTGTGAGAGATTGACTTGTTGTTGTGTTTTAGGTGCTCTCTTACATATCTGCTCCTGTCTTGTTGCATCTTCCTGGAAGAGGCGAAGAGATAATAAAGTGGTTCCATTAGTACAACAGGCGATATAAAGAAAGAAGGAAAGATAAAGCATTATTAGTGCTCTTAAAGATGACACTGAAAATTACTGGCAAAATAAACATTACCCTTTTCCTTATGGTTTCTTTCTTCCAAGTTTCGAAGCCCTTGAGATATGCCTTAGTTGATGTGACTGTTATTCAAATTCCGATGGAGATGCGACGACAAAATCAAGTCAATTATATTATTTGCGATTAATCAGAAAACAACCGATTCTGAGTTTCTGACGGTATATATACGAGGGATGGATATACTCCGTATAAAAAACAAGCGGGGCATGCACCTAGGAAAATGGTTATGAGGAGAGCCGTGATGAGCCAGTTGGGGAAAATAACATTGAAAATGACGCCAATGCTGACCCCAAGCATGAGCATAGGCTGCATGAGCAGGGCAAGGTCGTAGTCGATCAGCGGCATGTCCAGACTCGGGTGCTTCAGCTTCAGGTTGTAGTAGACAGTTGAAACGGACCCTCCCATGATCATGCCTGATCACCCAAAAGCGATCGATCAAATTCTCAATTTAATAAGGACGAGAAATAGAGTATATTATACAAAAGACAATCACTAGATTTTTTTTCATGCAACACTAGCGAAATGGTACGTAGCTTACTGCAGAAGTGCAGAAACATGCAGCAAGACTTGTGCTTTCTCATTCAGATAGATGTATATATGCACAGGGCGAGTAGAGTACATATAGCCAATAGTACTCACACTTGGATATTGCCGTGGATGACTTGGGATCAAAGCCGATGATGAGAGTCAGCATGGGGACGAAGATGCCGCCACCACCGACGCCGCCGACGCTCCCGCACGCCGCGCCGAAGAACCCGATCAGTGAACCCACCACAACTCGCCATCCAAATTCCATGGGCTGTATATATATATATATAGAAACATCCATTCATCAGGAAGCCAAATTATAGCTTAATTAACTTAGCCATATATTGCAAAACCTTGCCAATCCGAAGCAAGCAGATAGTCAAAGCTAAAGTTGTCTGCGTTACCGTACCGGCCAAACGTGGTGGTACGCCTTGCCATCGCTCCCCGGGGGCGCTAGGCCGCCCATCTCCGGCGCCGGGGCCCCTGGTGTGGCGGCGGCTGTCGAGTTCCTCATCGGGCCGTCGGTGGCTGCCACGGCAACGACGGCCGCCGCGCACGCGACGCCGAGCGTGGCAACGGCGTGCCGGCGCCACTGCTGTCTCGCCATCCCGCGCCGGCCTGCTGTCTCTCTGTGCCCCAGCAACGATGATACCAGGAAACTAATATAAAGATGCAATGCAGTGCAAGCAAAGTTAGCTGGCCGCTTCTCTTTAATTTCCGTAGTGCTGGGAGGGCTCTCCTCCGCTCTGCCAGGAAAGTAGTAGTAGTGTCCACGATGTTGGAGTGGAGCTCAGCTCGGTGGCGGCCAAACTTATAGCTAGCTAGAAGGGAACGCGGGATGCATGCTGCTGCATCCGGGTCACATCTCGTGGGCTCGTGGTGTTTCACACACTCTGCGTAGCGCCTCCACTCAGGCGTCGTCGTCTCGTCCATCGTGAGAACCCAACTCGATCGCCCAGCTTTATTATATACAAACATATATATTATATAATTCGAGCTGTCCCAGCACGACACGTTGATCTCGACGATCAGGCGTTCGCCCAAGGTCAGAATAAGGTCGTACGCGATTCAGCAGCAGCTAGGTGGAGTACTACACGTGTATCCTCGTAGTATCGAATAATCTTGGGTTTCACTCTGTCAATGCATGTGGTTGTGATCTGTGGGAACTGGGAACTGGGAACTGGGAACTATAGACTTTTTTTTTTATGAAATACGGCATAGGAGTATATAGGAGTATTAATTAAGAAGAGTTCTAGAACTAGCCTAGTTCATCATGAGAGAAAAACATGCAACTAGTAGTTGCCTAGTGGGACATGCCGCACAGAAACCCCACACAACGACTACATAAACAAATTTAAAGGGAAACCATAGATTAAAGAACATCCAAAATGAACAACTCGATCAGGATGGCTAAACTAGGCACACAAACAACACACATAGGAAGGTACGACATTGACGGTGTTCAATGTAGGTCATCGTTTTCTTGAAAGGAAGTTGGTGGAGCAGGACACGAGGATCGCTACTAGAGCCACCTAACCAACTCAGCTAGAGGCCCGTTTGAATGTAGGTCATCGCTGCCTAACCATCGATCTACACCCCACAGATATAACAACCCTAAATCCTTCAAGGCTGACCCATTTATCTCGATCATTCTTACACACACTGATGGAGCCACCACCCGGGCTTGTCCGCAAAGCGAAATGAAAATTTCTTTATATTACATAGAAATATTATACCTTTTTCGATAAATATATGTGCACACACTACCAGATGGTCCAGTCCCCGTAGTGCAGTACCACCAGTGCGAGCACATGGAAATCCTCCATCGCGACAATTGCTCATGAAAGTGCTCATGTTAAATGCTAAAAGTTGCATGCTCGGAGAATCTCTTGTGACTTGAAGAAGTTGAAGATTCTGGTTGTGACAATGAGAATCAGCCGGGCTCTTAAAAGTTTCTAGCTCCGCCACTGCTTACACAAAAACCAAGCTGACACCAATCCAATGACATATAGACCCAATGTGAACTCACCGTTGGATCAAGCAAATGTAATAACCTCCAACAGTCCTAATTATTACCATGGTACTCACCACAATGGTGTTCACGCCACCACACAATCACACCAATCCGTCATTGGACAGCTTTACTTTGGCCAAACAACCGCACGAAACATACATACAGTCATATCAAGCCACCTAATTAAAGCCATCCTCGCACCACCCTAAGTCATTGTTCACCCACTCGATCTTGCTGTTGTTGCGTCACCACACAGATATAGACCAATGTATCTCTATGGGCACCGTCTTTATTAGGTCAACATCATCCTTCTAATTCAGATCTCCATATATATAGCCATGCCGACTCGTTATTTTAGGATGGAGGGATCATAGCATGCTAATTTCTTTTTTATATACGTGAATCATTTGTGAATTGATTCTTTTATTAACACATCGATATGACGGGATGGAGCCGTTGGAGCCCCACCCGCTCCCTCTGCTGCTCGTCCGACCCCTCCAAAAAATCCACCAAATCCTCCCTCAATCCCACTGAAATTCCTCATCCAACTGTAGATCCACTCCTACCTCAAGCTGATCTACCGTTTGATAGGTCTTTTCCCTCCGGTCAAGGCTGTGGTGGGGATGGTGTTTCCCTTCCGGAGGGCAGCCGGCGGCCACTGCCGGCAGAGCCTTCGACGCCCGGTTCTGCCCCGAGCTCAGGGGATGCTTTGTCCCCGGGCATAGCTCAGCATGTCCAGTTCGATGCCTCATCCACAGACTCTTCTGGTGACGAGGCATCGGATGGCTGCGCCTCCCCTTTCTTCAACCCTCTGTGGAAGGGGAAGGGCGAGATGCAGGCGGCCATGGATGCTCGGCCTCCTCCGCGTCGTGGTGACTTCATGGCTGACGCCCGCCGCTCGTCCGCCATGGCCGCTACCAGCCCTGCTCTGGTGTCTGCTGCTGCTGCAACGGTTGTTCGGTCGCAGCGCGTGCAGTCCATCATTGTCGGACCTTCGCTATCCCCGGCGACTGAGTCCGGAGCAGCTTGTTAGACCTTAGGAATCATTTAGGTGCAGATAGGAGGGTGAAACTCTTACTAGTTGAATCAAATTAGACCTAGAACTTGAAACAGGAGAGGTAGAGAGAGAGAGAGAGAGAGAGATGTAGGAGCATCTGATCGTCGGCTTTGGAGGATGACAAGCCGTCCATGGCGTAGTCATCCCGGAGGGTGTCGGAGTAGTAGAAGCAGGGGAGTCCGGCGTGTCGTAGACGTCTGGCGTGGCGCAGAGGCGGCGGTGGCGCTTCCCGTCGCTGGCAGTGCCCCCTCTCTAGATCGGATTAGGGTTTAGGATATCGGTGGGGTGTCTGGCGGCTCAGGTGAACCTGGTGCCTTGTGCCCCTGCCCCCACCTCTCTTTTTATGGCGCTATGCGGTGAGGGCCCACCAACCATGGAGCGGTTGGGCACCCCCGATCAGCGTGGATCCAATGGCCCAATTGGCCATTGGGCCAATTGGAAGAGATTAATCTAATATTCTCCCCATTGATCTCACCTTATGACTTATATTTAACTTACTTTATCTTAGTTCTCATTCCATCATAGATCCGTGCATAGAGCATGCCTCATCGTCACGGTCAGTTACTATTAGATTAAACAGCTACAATGCACCTCTCTGTTTTGAAACAGATTCTCAACTAGGTCCTCATTATCCAGGAATCATAGGCTTTCCCTTAAACCCATGCCGGCTAAGTGTTCTCTGAACACGCTAGGTGGTAAGTCTTTTGTAAGCGGATCCGCGAGCATCTTTTCTGTTCTTATATGCTCAAGACTAATTATATGATCTCGAACTTTGTCTTTCACAACATAATACTTTATGTCAATGTATTTAGCAGTACCACTTGACTTATTGTTGTGAGCATAACATACTGCTGGATTATTATCGCAGTATAACTTGAGTTGTTTATGTATGTTGTCTACCACTTTCAACCCGAGCATGAATTTCTTTAGCCAATTCACCTGCCCTATGGCCTCATAACATGCTACAAACTCGGCATACATTGTGGACGATGTAGTGATGGTTTGCTTTGAGCTTTTCATGATATAGCTCCTCCTGCGAGAGTGAATATGTATCCTAACATGGATTTTCTGTCATCTCCCGCATAATCAGAATCTCTATACCCCTCTATGTGCAGGGAATCAGATCTTCTATACGTTAGCATGAGACCCTTCGTACCTTGCAGGTAACGCAAAACTTTCTTTACTAATTTCTAGTGTTCTAATCCTAGATTATTCTGATATCTACCAAGTAACCCGGTAACAAATGCTAAGTTAGGGCGAGTACACAATTGAGCATACAATAAACTTCCGACAACTGAACTATATGGAACCACTTTTATTTGATCGATCTCATATTGGTTCCTAGGACATTGAAATTCCCCATATCTGTCGCCCTTGACTATGGGAGCAGGTGAAGACTTATAATTTTACATACTGTATTTCTTTAGAACTTTTTCTAAGTATGCCTTTTGTGACAATCCTAAAACCTCCTTTTCTCTATCTCGACGAATCTCTATTCCTAGGACAAATGAAGCTTCACCAAGATCCTTCATATCAAACTTTGAGGACAATAACTTCTTTATTTCTAGTAGTAGATTAACATCATTGTTAGCGAGCAAGAAGTCATCCACATACAAGACTAGGAATTCCCATTCTTGAACTTTGCATAAACGTAATTGTCCTCTACATTTTCTTGAAACCCAAACTTTCTTATTGTACTATCAAACTTCAAATACCACTGTCTTGAAGCTTGTTTTAATCCATAAATGGATTTCTTCAGGCGGCATCCCATACGTTCTTTTCCTTTCACAACAAAACCTTTCGGTTGTGCCATGTAAACATTTTCCTCCAAATCCCCATTTAGGAACGTCGTCTTTATATCCATCTGATGTAATTCTAAATCGTAATGTGCTACAAGCGCTATTATGATTCTAAAAGAATCCTTACATGAGACTGGAGAAAATATCTTGTTATAATCTATACCTTCTCTTTGCGTAAAGCCTTTCACCACAAGTCGCGCTTTAAATCTTTCTATATTCCCTTTAGAGTCATGTTTGGTTTTGTAGACCCATTTATAGCCTACTATCTTGGCTCCTTTAGGAATTGTTTCTAAGTCCCAAACACCGTTGGTTTTCATTGATTTTATTTCATCTTCCATGGCTTCAAGACACTTTGATGAGTGAGTGCTTCTCATGGCTTCTTCAAATGAGGTGGGATCAGCCTCTATTTGAAATTTCTCACATTCATAAACTTCGTAATCTTTAGGAATGGCTGATCTTCTGACTCTTTGAGACCTTCTAGGGGCCTCGTTAGATGACGCTTGTTCTATATGAGGCTGTTGTTTCTCTTCCTCATGTGTGACAATGGGTTCTATGGGATCCTGAACGACATGTTCCTCATGTTCATCTATTGTTGCCATAGGAGAACTAACAACAGGTGTTGTTACTATAGTGTCTTCCACTGTTGGTTCCTAAACCATCGGAGTGGGCACGTATACTCGCTTCTCTTCTAAATTAATTTCTCACGCTACCATGCTCCCCTGATCATATCAGCCTCC